TCCCAAAACTAATGAACCAATAAAGAAATGGGCAAGTGAACTAAACAGAACTTTCTCAAAAGAAGAAATTCAAATGGCCAAAAAACACATGAAAAAATGCTCACCATCTCTAGCAATAAAGGAAATGCAAATTAAAACCACACTAAGATTCCACCTCACCCTGTTAGAATAGCCATCATTAGCAACACCACCAACACAGGTGTTGGCGAGGATGGGGAAAAAGGAACCCTCTTACACTGTTGGTGGGAATGTAAACTAGTACAACCACTCTGGAAAAAAATTTGGAGGCTACTTAAAAAGCTAAACATGATCTACCATTTGATCCAGCAATACCACTCTTGGGGATATACCCAAAAGACTGTGACACAGGTTACTCCAGAGGCACCTGCACACCCATGTTTATTGCGGCACTATTCACAATAGCCAAGTTATGGAAACAGCCAAGATGCCCCAACTGACGAATGGATTAAGAAAATGTGGTATCTATACACAATGGAATTTTATGCAGCCATGAAGAAGAACAAAATGTTATCATTTGCTGGTAAATGGATGGAATTGGAGAACATCATTCTGAGTGAGGTTAGCCTGGCCCAAAAGACCAAAAATCGTATGTGCTCCCTCATATGTGGACTTTAGATCAAGGGCAAACACAACAAGGGGATTGGACTTTGAGCACATGATAAAAGCTGTAGCACACAAGGGAGGGGTGAGGATAGGTAAGACACCTAAAAAACTAGCTAGTATTTGTTGCCCTTAATGCAGAGAAAGTAAAGCAGATACCTTAAAGGCAACTGAGGCCAATAGGAAAAGGGGTCCAGGAAGTAGAGAAAAGGTTAGATCAAAAAGAATTAACCTAGAAAGTAACACACATGCACAGGAAATTAATGTGAGTCAACTCCCTATGTAGCTATCCTTATCTCAACCAGCAAAAACTCTTGTTCCTTCCTATTATTGCTTATACTCTCTCTTCAACAAAATTAGAGATAAGGGCAAAGTAGTTTCTGCCAGGTATCGAGGGGGTGTGGGGGACAGAGAGGGGCCAAAGTGGGTAGTAAGGGAGGGGGTGGTGGCAGGGGGGAGAAATGACCCAAGCATTGTATGAACATATGAATAATAAAGCAATTAAAAAATAAAAAACCAATAAAAATTTTCATGAAAAATATGCAATAAATTGAAAATATTTTGGGATATTATTATTATTTTAATAATAGTAGCAGAATGGTTTTTTAAACTTAAAAAATAAGTATATATTGAATGAGCAATGGAAATTTTACATGAAGGTGAAACTAATAAAATTCATATAAATAACAACAAAATAACAATGCCAAAATGAACCATGTATTAATTCCTGCAGAAACTTTTACTTAGATACATTTAATCAGTGCCAAAACATACAAATAGAAGTAAAATCCAAAGTATTCAAACTAAGGAGACAAATTTTTTTCTGATATTTTCTATAAACATTTTCCAGATAAGTTTTTTTAAAACCCACTGGAAACTATAGAATACTCATGAAAGAAGTTGAAATTGCAACTCAATGGAAAGAGATCTGTGCTTATGAATTGGAAAATCTAATATTGTCAAAATGTCCCTAGTACCCGAGTGAAACACAGATTCAATGCTTCCCAGTCAAAGTACCAATGGCATCTTTTAAAGGAATGAAGAAATCCTAAAATTGGCTTGGCACCACTAAAGACCTCAAGTTCTTAAGCCACTCATGAGAAAGAACAAAGCTGGAAACATCACAGTTCATTATCTGAAACTATATATAAAACTTCAGTGATGAAACCAGTATGGAGCTGAAATTAAAAAGACACAAATAACACCAGAATAGAATCAACAGACTGGACACAGATCACACATATGTGATCTAATTCTTTGATAAGGTGATCATCTTTTGCTCACAGCCTTACAACAAAGAGGTCATATTCTTTTCAATAAATGTTATTGGGGAAATGGGATATCCATATGCAAAAGTGAATTTTTGTCCTCATTTTATACCACATGAAAAAACTTAACTTGAGATGGATTAAGGACTTAAACTTAAGACTTGAAACTCTAAAACTCCTAGAAGAAAGTAAAGATAAAAAAGGTCTTTGATTTTGGCCTTGGCACTGATGTTTTTTACACCAAAAAAACAGGTTATAAAAACAAAAATAAAACTAGGACTACAAAGAACTGAAAGTTTTATACACAGCAAAGAAATTAATAATCAGAATAAAAAGGCAATATAGAGAATGCAAGAAAATATTTACAGATCATGAAAGTGATAAAGGGTTAATACCTAAAATATATAAGGAACTCTTGCAAGTCAATAGAAAAATAAAACCATTTATTAAATGGACAAAGGCCCATAATAGACATATCACTAAATCAGAAGCATATGGAATGTTTCTCAACATCATTAGTTATACAGGTGTGCAATTAACAACACAGTGACACAGTGCTTCACACTTGTTAGAATGGATACATGAAAAAGAAGACAGGTGACAAGTTTTGTTGAATGAGGAGAAAAGGGAACTTAATGCCTCTGATTTCTAAGGAGAGAGTAGGTGATAGGTTAATTGAGGATTCCTTGTACATAGTGAGTCACGTCTCTCTGTGCTTCTCTCAAGAGACTCAATATGGTTTGGACTTTTAACATTTTGATTACAATGTATCTTGATATGATTCCCTTTGAGTTTAGCCTGCTTGGAGTTTGTTTACCTTCATGGATTTCTTTTGCATCCAAACTGGAAAATTTTTCAGCCTTTGTTTTTTCAAATACAATTTCTGCCTCATTCTTTCTTAATTCTACATGTTTTGAGATTCACACAAAGCTTATGTTGAGCTGCTTGGAAATGGTAAGAAATGTAACATTGAAATTTGAATTTAAGACAAATATTGATGGATTAGCCGAATTGACTCCCTCTGTAAGCTTCAGTTGTAAAAGTGTATCTCAGTGATCTACCATGGCTTCAACATGGCTTTGTAAATTGTTTTAAGATTCCTTAATAGACTTTACCTTATTTTACCTTTCATATTTTAGGTTGATTTTCCTCTTTTTTTGTGGTACTGAGGATTGAACTCAGGGCCTACACCTTGAGCCACTCCACCAGCCCTATTTTGTGATGAGTGTTTTCAAGATAAGATCTGGCAACCTATTTCCCCCCAGGCTGGCCTTAAGCTGTGATCTTCCTGATCTCTGCTTCCTGAATAGCTAAGATTACAGGTGTAAGCTACCAGTGCCTGGCTCCTCTGATATTAAGGATAATAAATGTATTGTGTAAAAATGAAGATCAGATGATATTGGTTTAATTTTCCTGGGTCTCAACCCTCCCCAGATACCTAGCTAACACCTTGTTTGATAAATTCTTCAGTGTTCTCCAGGGACACAAGTCATTCATTAAACAAATTAAAATATGATTGTTGAAACTGACCTTCTACATGGATTCATTAGTGCCCCATTGCTATTTCTTCCAAAAGTCATTAAGAATTTATTTGCCTGGAAGAAAATTTCTGAAATTATTAGTTGCAAAAAACATTTAAAGTGCTGCATTTACTTTCTTCCTAGTGGAAATTAATGCAAATCATCATATGGGAGATAGCAAATTAGTCCAAATAATTGTAGACATTCTTTCTTTTGTAACAGCAAACTTTCACATAAAGACATTGTGCTCAGATGGTTGGTAGATTATATCAGGATTCCAGATGTTGTATAACATAAAGCAGAAACATGAAGGAAATATTTCACTGGGTGTTTTGAGATGAAACTCATAGGGCTTTGTGAGGGAGTTTTCAGCTTTGTGGAAAGAGAGAGAAAAACATTTATTTCTCCATCTACCACTGACCCACTGTATTATTTTTTATGAGTAAGTTGAGCACATTATTTTGTGATCAATGTTTAACTTTACCCATCAATATTTTGACAACAGGTAAGTATTTTCTATTCATTTTCATGTGATCTTTCAACTTTGTTTACTCTCTTCTAGGACAGTTTGTTTTACATCTCTCTCTTTTTCACATAGATATGTATAATAGCTGCACACATATTTTGTAGTTAACTTGATAAATGAAAATGTGAAAATTTTATTAAATGATACTTTCTAGCAACTAACTGAAATAGGTGGACCATGGCATACTTTTCTTACTATTTGTATGTCTATCATTTAGAAAGACCTGATATATATTACTGGCATAGATGTCCAAGGGAGTTCCAAATAACATACATAAAGTGTTTGTGTATTTCAGATTTCATTGCCATATATTAAGTACTAGTGTGAAACATTAAAGTATTTTCTGATCATGCTTTTTAATGCCTAACTATATTTTTTAAATATTTTAGTGATTTTGTTATATCAACTAAGAAACACTGCATTAATTAATTAATTGAATTCTAACCAAAAAACTCTCTTTGTGTTTACAATCAAGAATGCAGTGTTTTCAATAGCACTACTATAGTGGATTGAAATAAATGGAATACTACTTATACATATCATTTTAAATGTTTAAAATGCAAAATTGAAATGACCTATCTACTGATTTTTTTCAAGCAAAAAGTCAAAAAAATCAATGCAGGTTGTGGTGGCTACTTCTCAAAAAGGATATTCATAATTTTTTTTCTAAAAACTTCAGTTGATCACTGATTCCCATGATCAGTAAGAATTTTTATTCAGGGGAAAAATGACATAAGAAAAGTATAACTGCCCCAACATTTTTGCTAGATAATGAAGCATTAGAAGAATTTATATTCAAGTAGTACATTTCCCAATAGTAAGTACAATAGATGGAAACCCAGTAATACTGTAGCAGATACTGACATTAAGCATAGATGTGTCTTAAATGGTTTGTGAGAATTGTAGACAATGGGAAACACACTGCCCAAAAACAAACCCCAATCATTTCATGTCAAAAGAAGAAAGCACTTGAAAAGATATAGGTAGATATTTATGCTTCTCTTTTAGACTTATGTTTTCCATGTCAATTGTATCAGTAAGATCTTCCATAAACCAACCATCAGCATGAGAAATACATCAGTGACAGACTTTAATCCTCCTGGGTTTAACAGACAATCCAGAACTCCAAGTTGTGATTTTCTTCTTTCTATTTCTCATGTATGTACTGAGTATTACTGGAAATCGAGGTATAATCACCCTTACTCTGTTGGATTCCCACCTGAAGACCCCCATGTATTTCTTCCTCAGGAATTTTTCCCTCTTGGAAATTTCATTTACTTCTGTCTGTAACCCTAGGTTGTTGATCAGTATCATAACTGGGAACAAATCTATTTCCTACAATACTTGCGCAGCTCAGCTCTTTTTCTTTATCTTCCTTGGCTCAAAAGAGTTTTTTCTCCTGGCTTCTATGTCCTATGATTGCTATGTGGCTATTGGCAAGCTTCTACATTATACAACCATCGTGAGAAACAAGATCTGTTACCAGCTCATCATCAACTCCTGGCTGGCTGGATTCTTGGTAATTTTCCCACCACTGGCCATGGGATTGCAGCTAGATTTCTGTGATTCCAACATCACTGACCATTTTACTTGTGACTCTGCTCCTTTGTTGAAAATCTCTTGCACAGGCACAAGTACCATAGAGCTCATGAACTTTGTTTTAGCTTTGTTCACACTTATGACCACCTTGACACTAATAATTCTCTCCTATACGTACATCCTCAGAACAATTCTGAAAATCCCCTCAGATCAACAAAGAAAAAAGGCCTTCTCAACCTGTTCTTTACATGTGATTGTTGTCTCCATCTCCTATGGAAGCTGCATCTTCATGTATGTGAAAACATCAGCAAAGGAAGGAGCAGCTATGCTCAATACCTCTGTCACTCTTATGCTGAATCCATTTATTTACACTCTAAGAAACCAGCAGGTGAAACAAGCATTTAAGGATGTTGTGAGAAGGATACTTGCCTCAAAAACATTGATTTGAATGCAATTTCCAATGAAACATGAACACAATTTTAACCAGAAAAGCAATAAACATTTTCCTGTTTTTGTTATTGCTGCCTTCTTATTTTTATCTCTTCTCAGAAATACAACTGTTATTTCATATTTCTTTAATGTACTTACAAGTCCCTTTATGAATTCATGCAAATAGCACTATGGAAATATTTTGTTCATTTTCATATGATATAAATGAAAATAAGACTAAATTCACTTTATCTGTTAATTTATGCTCTTCAAGTAATATATATATAGAGAGAGAGACAGTAATCACTGCTGATGTTTTTTGAACAGAATATGATATTAAATCATTTCTTTATTAATTCTTGCATTGTTTTTATACAAAAATGTATACATACACACTTTTATACACATGTTCACATGTGGTTATGTATATATGTAGATCCATTTTTTTTCTTTTAGTACTGCTACAGATTGAGTATACTCGGCTTTCGATAATTGCTTTTACACTTTTTCAATGGTTCTAGAGGAAACTCAAACATATGGGATACAGGACTAAACAATTTACAAATAAACCACAAATCAATCATTAAAAGTTGGAAAAGAAGAATGTTATTTTGTACTGAACATAAAGTTTAATTTGCAAATTACTTATAATCTACATAAAAAATAAAAATTGAATTATATCCCAGTAAGAAATGTAATTATTTTGGCTACTTATTATCTCTGGAGCAATTTATTATTTTAATTATTATGCTTTTGATTTTCTATTTATAAAGTCTTAAATGAGAAAAAATAACATAACTGCCATTTTAAGAACAAAAATGTAGAACTTTTTAAATTATAGTTATTACTTAAATAGAAGGCAAGAGCAAGAAATCACATTTTTTATAAAACATTTCTACAAATGATTACCAATATTTGGCTTGGGAATGGCAATCTCTGGGAATCTTACCTTACCTAAGATAATGGTGTAGGAGTTTATGTCTATACAGTGTTCTCACTAATAATATTATTTTGCCTCAATTACAGTTCCCCAGTTTAATTTGGTCAGATTTTCCCATTGTATCATGTGAGGTAATTTTGTTTCCCAAATGAACATTAAAAATCAGAAGAACCTAAGCTGGGTCTAAGTAGCTATAATCCTAGCTACTTGTGAGGCTGAGACCAGGAAGTCATGGGTCTGGACTAGCCTTGAGCACAAAAGTTTGCAAGACCCCATCTCATGAGGAAAAAAGCAAACTGGGCATGATGCCTATCATTCCAGCTACTGTGAGAAGTCTAAAATAAGAGATCTCTGGTCCAAACTGGATTGAGCAAAAAGCAAGATCCCAACTCCAAAATTACCAGAGCAAACATGACTGCAGGTATGACTTAAGTGATAGACAACTTACCTAGCAAGCATTAAGCCCTGAGTTCAAACTCCAGTACTTTCAAAAAATTTTAAAAAGGTTAAGAAAAAAGTTTTTAATAGATTGAAAAGGTTAGGAAAACTTGCAAGAGCTAGGAAATTTCTACTTTGCTCAGGAGCTGGAAAGAGGGATTCATGCAACTATGAGTGATTATTACTATTAATTGCTGTTGCATTCTTCTCTTGATTCCTGTTTTTAAATATAATTTCATTCATTTCTACTTTGTTTCTTTCTTCCTTAAAACAGGTAGTCTTCTGTCACATAATAAATAGTAATCTTCCTTGAATAGTATAACTGTCATTTTAAAATCATTCCTTACCATTTATTTTAATAGCCGTATTGAGGTACAATGGATATACAAGAAAGAAATTACATATTTAAGGAACACAATTTAATAAGTTTATATATATATATGTGTGTGGTTGTGTGTGTGTGTGTGTAAGTGTGTGTGTGTGTGTAAAATACATATATATATATGTATATATATATATCCATGAAACTATCACCACAATCAAAGTAATAAAAATATTCACCACCTCCAAAACTATAAGCACAATGCTATATGGTAGTGCCGGCATGGTCAGGGGCTCGAAAGGAACCGACTGACCTTCCGGCCCAGTGAGCAGTGGGGAGGCTGATGGCGTGGAGAGAAAAACACTCCAGAGACTACTTCAGAGAGCCAAGTCTGATTTTATTTCCACAAAGCAAGTATATATATATGTGCTGTATGGGCTAATCAGGGATCAACTATGTGGACCATTCAGGGGAGGCCACCTAGCCCAGTAATCCAGATGAACCAGAAGAGACAGGCACCCAGTGCCATCTTGCCATAAGCGGCCACACCCTGCAAGCCTGCAAGCAGAGCTATATGATCTAGGTTTGCCTAGATCACTAGTGGTCTTGCACATGAGCCAGATACATGTGGGGCCATTTCTCCTCTACATGATAGAGCTCTAGAATTTATTCATTTCACAAAGCTGAAATTTAGAATCATTGTATAGCAACTCTTCATTTCTCTAACTGCCCACACCTGACAATGGTCATTGTATTCTTTGTTTCTGTGAGTGATGCTACCTCAATGATGCCCTTAATACTTTCTTTTGCACTTAAAATGTAATTCATTAGCAAATATTGTAAGTTCTTTCTTCAAAATATATCTGAAACTTAACTACACTTCATCATTCTCATTGCCATTCTTCTGGTAAAAACCTCCCTTTTTTTATGTTTCTAATATTTTTAGTAGATAAGGATGTTGATATTGAATTTACATTGCATGATAAACCAATGTTGATCATCAATCAAAGTTGTGTTTATTTTATTTTATTTGGTTTAATATACTGACTAAAATTAGCATTTTACGTGACAGTTTCACGTAATCACAAATTTTCTTGTAATTTCAAGTTTTCACAGTTTCATGTAATCACAAGTTTTCTACTCAGATTTTATCTTTCTCAACATCTAAAGACAACGTAACAAAAGGTACAGAGAGTGTGATGTTCAAGAATTCCCAGAGGCCAGTGAATAGTGAGGAGGATTTTTAAGAGAAATGGGTACAAGTGAATAAAGAGCAAAATACTACCACTATGCTTCCATATTATGTGAAAATAATTGAAAATATTTCAATTAAGAGTAAATTTTAAAAAGAAATTATATGAAGCATGATAGTGTCTACTTTGTATGCAGATGTCAAGGTTAAACTGAATCACATGTAACTTGATATGTTCCAATTACTTCTAAATAAAATATAAGTAGTGTCTTAGTCCATTGCATGGCTATAACAAAATACCTGGGACTTATTAACTTATAAAGAACACAGATTAATTTCTCATCGTTCTTAAAATTGGAAAGTCCAAATTCAAGGAGCCAGCAGATTCAGTTGTCCATTGAAGGCTGGTCTCTTATTTCCAAGATGGCACCATGTAAGTTGCATCTTCAGAGGGAAAGAATGTTGTCTCCTCACATGGCAGAAGGTGGAAGGGCAATGAGCCAAACATTGAATAACACCTTGTTCTGAGGGACCTTAATCCAAATCACAAGAGATGAGCCTTTGTGCCCTACACCCTTCTTAAATATTCTTTTTATTTCTATCACATTGATAGTACATTTCAAAGCCTGAATTTTGAAGATAATACATGCTAGTCAAAAATAAATTTTTCCTCATCAAATTTTTAATAGATGCTTTCATTAAATTTAACATTTTATGAACCATGACATGTAATATGTTATAATTGTATCACACACACAAGTATCTTAGATATCAAGATTTTCTATACTGATGTAGAATGGTTGCCATGTAGGCACACCTCAGGCTTTACTTTTTTTCTTGATGGATCAATGAATTAGAACTTTTAATAAATTATTTATTTTCATCTATTATTTGACATTTTTAGAAATTTCAATTCTATGTCCACGTAATTTCTAATTCTGCTAACTCAATGTTTTATTTATTCCCCGTCTCATCCAACAGAGAGCATGGATTGCAATTATTCAACCACCTCTCACTTCTATCATGACCCTTTCCCCATGCTCCTTTTTATTTTCCCTCCATGCTTCCTTGACACTACCACTATCATCCATAAGGCAATCATTTCCCACTGGAAAATAATGTCTTTGTACTCTTGTCTGTATTAGGCAATATTGGATGTAATTTTGGATATTGAGTAATCAAACATTAGGTTTTAGGAATTTTTTCTCTTTTTCCACATAATAAATAAGATGAGGGAGATTCCAAGATGGCAACTAGAAGCAGGAAGCAGAAAGCATGCTTCCTAAAGTAAAATCTTGGAGAGAAGCAGGAGAAACACTTTGCAGGAAAAACTACCAAGAAGAAGCAAAGTGCCAACTCCTCCACACCCCCAACCCACACACAGCATCTTCACTCCATTTTAAATGGAGAAACCAGGAGGGTGCCCGTGCAGCCAGATTCCAGCTCCTACTGGCTCAAAAGAAGCACACCACCAGGTGAGCTAAGTGGCACAGAGTACACCCACAAACAACCCTGGCCAGATCAGCAAAGACCCGGGACAGACTGACCCCCACCCAGGGGAAAAAAAAGGAAAAAAAAGCAAACTGAATAATAAACAACAACAACAAAAAAAAGACACATAACAAAGAGGGCTGGGTGCCCTGAGTGCCTAAGGGGAGGAGGGGCAATCCCTCATGAAACTATAAATAAACAAGCCAGCTGAAGAAGACAGGAGTGGTGGCCCCTGCCAAGAAAACTTGGAGCTGGAAACTTTGTAATAGTGGCCATGTGAGGAAAGCTCCACTGAAGAGGGGGGAAGGGACACTTCCCATGTGAACTGTAAATAAACAAGCCAGCCAGAGAAGGTGGGTATAGTGCCACCTCCCCCTAGTGTGCTTGGAGAGGGGAAAACTTGTAATAGTGGTGGTCACGCCCAGGAGATCTCTAAATAAATAAAGCCTGCAGGGCTAGGTGAGTATTAAGCTCACTCCTGAATCTGCAATCAATAAAGCCTCTAGCAACAGGTGGCTGACAGTAGCAGTCAGGTGAGCTGAAGCCTCAGATAGACATTTTTCTCTTCCTTTGATGAAACAAAGACTGAACTAAAACTGCATGCTGAAGGTCTAACTGAAAGTGTATTTCATTTGA